TCACTCTACATACCTACGCATCCTTACAGCCTTAATGCCATGAACTTGATCAAGATGTATTGCTAAAAGGATCACCAGGGAAGCCCTGGTTCCTAACAAATGAGCTTACTAAAGGTCTAAGTCCTCTCAGGTAGATTTATATAAACTTACTGGCGTCCATCACGTTATATCTCTCTGGGTGTGTATGAGGAAGACATAGTCATCTTCTTTTTTCACATGGTCAGCATAGACTATAAAATGAGATTTCATACACTGAAGGAAAAGAAAATTATTTTTTCTATTTATAACACAGTTTACTAGAATTTTAAAATGTACTAACTTTAAAGAGTAAAATATATATGTATATCTATTAGATTGCCAAACTTTTAAAATTGTACAAGGTATTTATCAATGCCAATATCGAGAATTGATACTTAAGTGTAGTATTCTCTGTAGGAACCTAAACCTTAACAACGGTAACCTTGGTAGTCACAAAACCGCTGACAACTCATCAAAAAGAAAGATACATCACCTAATCACAGATCTAAAACCGATCTATTGCTGAAAAGACCAATTGCTTTGAGGTAAGTGAGAGAAAAATAATTAAACTTTGACGTAGAACAAATTTACCTAAAAAAATGTAAATTTCATGAAAAAATAAAGGTGAATGTAGTGTGTTTAGCATTATTACATATGTACACATATATGAGGGCATTTTTTGAAGTGTTATGTTTACAAATAATCTCTTATGATATTTAAACTCGCAGAAAGCAAGGCACTTTGAACAATTTCAAAAGAATCAAATAGTACTAACATTTATCAGGGACAAAGATTTAAAAAAAAGAAGTCAGAAAGAAAATTCCTCCCCCATTGTAATGCCTTTACTAGATATTTAATGGTTATTTGTTATATACAACAAAATAGGTAGAGCAAATTAACACCGATATGTACACATATCGCTATAGAGTCTGTTATCGGTTGACTTCCAGAAAAATCTAATAACAATACTTTTTACAACCATAAAACGTCTTTACCAAACCGTGCAAATGTGTGTCAACAGAAAGAATGCATTCAACCCTTATAATGTAAATATGAGGAGTCAGAGAATGTCAAGGCAGTCTTAACCGGTAGCCGTCAATAGCGAATAAACATTTAATATATTATTAATATTTAACAAATTCATTTTTATTAAATATGCAATATATCGATGGCATCTATTTTCAGGTAAAATATACAGTTTACTGCGAGTGTATTTACTTGTTTTGAAGTTTAATGATCTTTTAAAAGCCAAAATGGAATATCAACACTAAAGCTTCAAGTCTACACGTTGGAAAAGGCATATGAAATCAAAGATTTTCAAATGAAGAATGTTTAGTGTAGACAAGCATCAGTACTTACAGTCAAATGCTTCTTCAGCAAAAGCACTTTCGTCGATTCCTATGGCTACTCTTCGTCCTGTTCCTGACATGTTGGTTTAGGTAAAATATTGTCAGTCAAGTCAGATGTGACGCTGTGTGCACTTGTCCTACCTCTTCTCATGTTTGTGTTCTCGTCCATGAAGTTAATTTAAAACAAGGTACAGCGGGAAATTTTAAAAGCTGACGTAATGATTAATTTTATTATTTACAGCATTTACAGTGAACGTTGACACTTTTTTTTATATGTAACTCTTTAATAATGATTTTATAATTATTATGATTCATATTTGAATATGCCCTCCGATTTATTTTTCAGAAATATTCTCAATAATATTTATTAACGATTTAAAAAGTCTTTGGTAAAAAACCATCCTAATTTAGCAGCTACTATAACAATAAAATACTCTTACAACCATGATATTGTTGAAATATAAATACAATGTATATATTTCAACAACATTATGCTTGCGATAATATTTTATATCCCTGCATTAATTTGTGTATTTACACATAGTGACACCATTGCCCAAATTATCAACATTAAACATTCACAACAATCACTCTTTATGAACTTAATCCTACATTTACCGAGGAAATCAAACAAAAAAATTAATGTTGACAAAGGTCTATCTCATGAACAGAGTAATAAAACCAAAAACCATAGGTACACCAGAGGTGGGTTAATTATATTATAATTTTTATTATACTACATATACATTAATATGACTATCTTTGCAAACAAAGTGCCCCCCCCCCCTGGTTCCGACGCCTATGTACATTGAGAGAGTAAATTCCTTAAATCGCGCCTATTATTAAATATACCTGTAAATCATTGTTCCATGATGCTGTGAGTTCCTTTAACTTTTTTCTGGTTCGTGATATATACTAGTAGTTTGTTTTGAATTTTTTTTTGTTCATTTAAACTGACAAGAAGTAAAAAATGCAATGATTTTAATTAACGATCCAGTGTATGTACATGTACATTTTGCAGGGGATATGTCTTCTGTATTGTATATCTGCATTCATTCTTGAATTAAATTTTCTGTCTGAACGCAACAGAATAAACTAATTACAAACACACATACAAAGAAATCAAAATAGCCTCTTACAGTCATAGAAAAATCTAACGTAAACCAAGTAGCTACAACGAAGTTTTTGATGCGTCATGATTTTAAAAGACACTTTCTATTTACTAGTGATTTACATGTAAAAAAAAATTGTATGCATATCAAGTTTCTCTTTAATAAGTATTGGCTAAAAAATCTGTACTGAAGTAGTATTTCTCTGGTGGAAAATCAAGTCGGGGTTGTTTGTTAGAAGCTAACGGGAAATTCTAGTATACCAGGCTTCTGAAATTGGGGGTGGCTTTAAACGCAAGCTCTTTTTTTCTGGAAAAAAATGTGGGATATATATGTACAATACTGGATACTGGTATTCATTAATACTTTAAACTTTTTTGACACGTAGCAGCGAGATTTTACTACGCCCCATACCCCCCCCCCCCCAAAAAAAAAAAAACATTAAGGAGGGGCGTATAAAATGATCGGATTTTTTTAAACCGAGAGACATAGGTATAAATATATTATTAATGCCGTGAACAGAGATTTTATATGACCGACCTGTATATTAAATATGATTAATAAATGCATTTATAAACTAGCAATTTATCGACTTTGCTTTGATTTCGCCAATTAATGCACATTTACCCTTTCCCGGAGTAATGTTTAGTAGGCCGCATTTCATTTCCGGAATCCCCCCCCCCCCAAAAAAAAAAAATTGAACTTTTCATTTCCGACAGTTTTACATTTTAAAGGTGTTCATCTCCGACATTTGTCAAATTCATGTCAACATTTTTTTGGCAATAAAAAAGAAATATCATACTTCCGTTATAAAAATTTTTAAAGTACAATATTTTAGATATTCAAAGAAAAGGCTTTCCTCATATGTCAAAGAAACTTAATTAATTTTACCCTGGAGCAGATGTAGGTAAAATGTTGTGAACTTTCACTTAACTTTTTCCTTTACTTATAACTAGACATAATATTGTATACAGAATGTATGTAATGATTAGATTTTAAAAAGAATTGTGATTTTAAATAAATAATATTATATAATACATATTTACAATTTCCATCTTTGTTATGTATGTTAACCTAATAACCTTAAATTGCCATAAACAAAGTATTTTTTTTTAAAAATCCGAAAATTTGGAAAGAAAACAGAAATAAATATATAATGTCGGAAATGAAAATAAAAATGTCGAATTCCGAAATAATAACAAAAATTGTCGGAAAATGCAAATGCAAAATTCAGGAAATGAAATGCAGAGATCTAGTAGAAATAATAATTAGCTTTTGAAAAGGTAAGAAACAGTGTTAGCTTATAAAAACACAGGGGATATGGTACTTTAGGTTTTCTCAAACGAGACAATTATTGGCTAACCCCCAACTGCCCAATCTGCAGGCATGTTGTTTTTACAATAACGGGTGTAGGGTAGTACACCGTGACATAAGCCCCTGTCACAGGCCTCCAGTTATGACAACAATATTAAACGTAAAAATGACAGATTTTTTTATTTATACTATAAAGAAATATATTTTGAAAGATGTGATTTTTTTTGCGAGTGGAAGTCGGACGTTTATCATGTTTATTGGAAAGAGAGTGTAACTAAATGATCCGTGTTGGACTTACGAACATTCATCTGTTCATTGCATACTGATTAATCTGCCAGTAAACAGGAGGTGAAGGTAAATGTATGTACATTTGTATTCTTAATATTTTTTTAATGGTAATGTTGACATTAGTGTATATAAACGACAAAACACAGGTATACAATTTGTATAATAGACCGTGGGCGGACCTTTTCTTATAGAGCCAGGCGGACCAAATATGTTATCGTATTTGGTCCGGCCGGACCTTTAAACGAGGCGGACCAAATATTATGCGACACCGGTCACAGCTACCATAAGCCCTGTGTATTTATCAGGTAAGTTACGGAGTAATCCGCAGCAAAAATTAGTATTAAATCAATAGTTTGAATTGGTATGAAACATACGTCAAAATATATATTGGAATATAAAGAAAAAAGAAGAAATATAAGGAATAGAAATCAAGCTCAGGTCCATTGAAAAAAATTATGAGCAAAAAATAAAACATCAAACTTTAAGGTGAAATCAGGTGCCATGGAGGAATAAGCATCCCTTGTCGTTCGGTCAATCCCGCCGTGTTTTCTTTGTCATGATTAGGGAAAAACTCCCTATGAAATTCAATGTGAAAATTTATATGGCCTAAAAATTTCCATGGATAAAAAACGTCTGTGAGCATTGGGATTAATGAAAGATTAAACTTGTGTTGTACCAACTATAGATATTGCCAAATTTGCGAGACTGTTGATAAATTATCCTTGTTTCATCAGCTAGCTTATCTCACAACGGTAATTGTTCGTATGTACAGAATCCTCTTGTGTATCGAGTCAAGTGGGAGACATTGATTTCATAAGCAGGGTGATAACAGGACACCTTTTTTTAAATAAAGGAAATTGGCGATAGCAAATTTGAAGTCAGCAAGTTTATCATAAAGTTTTGTTGTTAGATTTCCGTTAAGTGTAAAAACATTAAATACACTGTCATTATCGAAAATGCGCAAAAATATTGTGCAATGAAAACCTAGTCACTTTCTTTTATCAAATATTTATTTAATTTTTTACAAATAAAAGAATTTAAACAGTTTTAAAAAAGACATACATATTTTTTCAAGATTTTTCCTTCATGTATTGTTGTCCTCTTTGAGGATACTGAAAATTCTTATCCAATGGAATATTTTCAAGATGTAGATCTCCAACTAGGTTTGTAATCATAAGATAAAATTTTGATTGTTCACAACATTTATAATTATATTTGTCTATTCCAACGTTTTTACTTTCATTGTTTGCAGATATTCATAAATGACAACACCAAAAATGTAAAATGAATAAATTCACATGAAGAAATGAAATATACACACAATCAATAGCAGTTTGCTGTTGAGGCAGATTAATAGTGTTGTGCTTATTTTCAATATGAGCATTAAAAATTGCCATTCGTTGTGGACATGGAATGTACAATTTTGAATTCACTTCCGGCACACCAGGACAGGGCAACTTGCATGATGCATGACGTAGTCACTCACACTTCCCATGAAAGTGCGCCTGAGCAAGCCCATACCACGACATCCGGTCACTATCAAATTAGCATGTTCCTTCTCCGCCACATGGACAATGGCCTCCCCTGGATCCCCGTGTCTTTTTAGGAATTTTGCCGATTTCTGAGAGGGAGAATTGGAGAACTCAACAGTTAACATGTATTTATTATACTTAAATACTGTTCCTTATATGAATTAAGTTTCCTTTCCTAAGACGTACATGTATAATCATTTAAAAAAAAGATTTTTTTAATGAAAAAAAGCTTTCTATAAAAGCGTACGCACGTATACTTAAAAATAAAATTTGAATTTCCAGACATATTGTCTGGAAATTCAAATTCAAATTTTCTGTGGCATTTTAATGAAATCATAACTTTTAGAAGACCCTTTTTGATTTTGATGTCGAAAGGTCAAAAATTCATATATTGTATGAAATTATGTCCAGATAGCTTTAGGTATTTGTGCTTTTGCAATGCAAAAATGGACGAAACCGTCCTATCTGAAGAAAGGCCCCTTTTAAGGTTAAAATGTCAAGGTTCATCCTTCTATTTATTCCCTAAGCTTTTTTCTTTCTAATTCAAATACTCTACCTATTTGACTTGACTTTTTTGCAGAATTTAAAGAAGTCTGCAAGGAGGAAGGGAATAAAGTCAAAACTTTCCTAAAAACTTAAAGATTCAAGTCTTACTAATGAACAGTATGTCTGCTTTTCTCTTGACCCAAGTTCAATTCTCATTGAGGTATGTTTTTATTTTTGATACAATAATTTTTATCTTCCAGGAGGTAAGATTTTTAGAACTTTGATGAAAGAATAAGAATTGAGGCAAAAAAAGAAAGTTAAACGACAAGAAATAGGGTTAATTTCACTGTAACTGAAATCCCTCAAAGGTTTTTCATCATCGCTAGCAACCAATGAATTCCAACTTTTGACAAGGGGAGGTCTGCATATCAAACTTTATACATGCTATACAATAATTTAACTTGGAACATAAAACTGTGTACTTACGATGCCCATTTTCTCTATTTTCTTGTTATATTTGGCTTCCAGAGCCTCCACTTTATGTCTCACCTCCTCCAACAGTTCACGGTGAGGGTCTTAAAAACAATTACAGCTAACAGACAAAGAACTCAGAAATTCAATTCATTTATTCCAGTTTATCTTTCTCTTGAACAATTCTTCATAAATAATTTTACATTTATATGTCATATTTCTTACTTTTATACTTTTTAAATACTTTTGTTCTTGTCATATACTGTGCATTTTGACAACACACAAGAAGTGCTTTAAAAAGACCCAAGCGTTACAACATATGTGATTGTTTAACTTAAAAAGCCACCAAAAGCCCCAAAAATAATAATAATAATCATGCAGTACAAAATTTAAACATGCATAAATTCAACAAATTAAAAGCATCAGCTTCGTTTTAAGCGTTTATAACAGACATTTTATAAATCATACACTTTTAATTCTGTAAATATGTGGCATTAAAATTTTAATTTTTCGTTTAAATTTCGTTTACTTCATATCTCATGCAAAAGCACAGTCCAGTGGTTTTACAAATAATTTTTCGATAAAATAATAACATTTTAAAAAATACAGCAATCAGCAATACTAGTATGTATAAACAAATAACTGAGAGAAGTACAGGTGTTTATTGAACTTATTTTTTATGTCAAAAAAAAAATCTTTAAAAATTCGTTGGATTATTCTTCTTATAAAAGTATTTAACAGAATGAAAATAAAACGTTTCAAGACTTTATTACATCTTTTTTCATAACACAGGAAAATGAAAACATATATGATAATTGTCTTTTATGAACATAGTTAAGTCTCCATGCTGTACTGTCAACATGACACCGAGGTATGTTTTCTGATAATACACATTTCTGTAGTATTAATAAGTTATCTGTATTTTTTGCTGATAATTAATTTTAACTAACATACTTGTATTTATATTTATAACAATAGTAAATAAATATATGAATTTCACTATATAATACATGAATTTCAACCGAGTAAATATTTGTAATCTACAATAAACAGTTTAAAAGACAAAAAGAGTAAATATTATAATAAGAGAACCAAATATTGACGAGATAAGGTAATACGATTGTTGGTTAAGATCTAATCTTCATTGCTGTTCACTTCCGGCACACAAGGACAGGACAATGGGCATGATGAATGACGTAATCACTGACACTGCCCAGAAATGTCCGCCTTATTTTGCCCATCCCTCGACAACCAGTCACTATCATATTGGCCTTCTCCTTGTCCGCCACGGCTACAATCGCTTCTCCTGGTCCCCCCTGTTTGGTCACAAATTTTCCCAATTTCTGTGGGATTCAAAACAAAATGACCCTTGTATATGCAAAAATAAGGGATGAATCTATCATAAATTACTACAGCACTCTTCCTCCATTGCACAAAAATAACTTTCCAGGTGCTTTTAATTGGCTAATCGGTAATTTTTTAATTGGCTAATCTTTAATTTGAAGGATTTCTAAAGTTTATTTCTCCATGCAATAAAGACATATTATGGAAAGTTCTACAAAATAGCAGTTTCGTCCTTTTTTAAGTGTTTCTCTCTGCAAATGATCATTAAATAACCAAACCCCTGATGTTCAATTAAGGTGATTGCATATTCCTCTCTTTCTAAAGCTAAATAACACTCTGGAGGTAGACAGGGGATGCTTACTCCACCATGGCACCTGATCCCACCTCTGATGTGTGCGCTGCTCTTATTTTGTATTGTTTCAATGGACGTTTGAGCTTGATCACTGTTTGTTATCTTCGTATTTCATTGCATGAAAATAATCCGATATAAAGGAAAATGTATTCAAAATATTTCCTGAGAAATAACTTTACTTACGATGCCTGCCGCCTTTATTTTCTCTTGGTACTTGTTTTCCAGTGCTCTCACTTTTTTGTTAATCTCATCCAGCAGTTCGTGCAAGACAGCAGGGCCTTAAATACAGTGATTGATAAACTCAAAATACAGAAAAAAAGAAAAAGAAATGTTCATTCTGGCTGGTGAGGACCTGTCTGTTAAAGGGGGACCAAGGGCAACAGCTGGCACCCTCAATTCAGATCAGAAAATTCGACTTTGGTTAGGTACTTCATGGTAAGCTGTGACTTAGATTATTCAAAAGATAATCTATAGAAAAAGTAATAAACTAAAAGATACGTGGCAATATATATTTTTCTTATGTGCCATAATGTGCGTTCCTTTCCTTTGTCAGAAAATTTTGGGTTCTTGGAAATGTTAAAATACAGAAAAAAAAGAGAAAAATATTCATTCTGTCAGGTGAGGACCTGTCTGTTAAAGGGGGACCAAGGGTACAGGTGGCACCCTCACTTCAGAACAGATCATTTGACTTTCGTTAAGCACCCCATGGTAAGTTGTGACTTAAATTATTCAATAGATAATCTAAAAAAAATAATTTAAAAAATTGATATGTGCATGACATGATATGGCAATACAGTATCTACGGTAATTTTCTTTCCATGTGTGTTCCTTTCCTTTTTCAGAAAATTTTGGGTTCTTGGAAATATCTCCGATACAATAGTATGGATTCCTACTATACATGTATATCAGCAATAAAAAAGACAAATATTCATAAAGAAGAGAGAAGGAATTTAAAAAAAAAAAAGGCAATATTTCAAAACATTTGTGGTTTAAAATCTCTGCATGACTTGTACTTTAAGGGGTGTCTGTTAAGTTGAGGTTTTCTGCTACATTGACTATGATGGATATTTTTATGCGCCCGAATTTTTTCGGGGCGCATATTGTTTTTGTCCTGTCTGTTTGTCTGTTTGTCTGTTTATCTGTTTGTCTGTTTGTCTGTCTGTCTGTTGTCAACTTTAACCTTCGCCAAAACTTTTAAACCGTAAGAGATAGAGACTTCATATTTGGTATGCATACTCCTCTAATAAAGTCCTTTCAAATGACATCAAGGTCAATGACCTTGTGACCTTGACTGTGACCTATATGCTAAAAATAGCTTTTTCCACTGTTTGTCATAACTTTTGAACAAAAAGAGATAGAGACTTCATATTTGGTATGCCTACTCCACTAATAAAGTCCTTTCAAATGACACCAAGGTCAATGACCTTGTGACCTTGTCTGTGACCTATATGCTAAAAATAGCTTTTTCCACTGTCTGTCATAACTTTTTAACCATAGGAGATAGGGACTTCGTTTTTGATATGCATACTCCACTAATAAAGTCTTTTCAAACGACGACAAGGTCAATGATCTTGTGACCTTGACTGTGACCTATATGCTAAAAATAGGTTTTTACACTTTTTGCCATAACTTTTGAACCATAGGGGACAGGGACTTCATATTAAGGATGCATACTCCACCGATTAAGTGCTTTCAAATGACACCATGGTCAATGACCTTGTGACCTTGACTGTGACCAATATGCTAAAAATAGATTTTTTTTAACTTTGTTGCCGCCGGGCGCATAGTGTTTCACAAACACATCTTGTTTATACTTAATTATTCTTAATAATTATTCTTAATTCTCAATTCTTACAAGAGATTGGTTTAATATGGAAATAAATTCAACATCTATACACAAGCATACTGCAAATCAACAAAAGCTGGCACAAATACATGTTACATGTACACTATAAAAGTAGTTAAAAATATACGGTAGACATTCATGCAATAAGACATGCTATGGACATTCACTTCATTGCCTTTAGTTTAAAAAGTATCAAATGATTTTGTGGGTCCTCTAAAAGACCATTTTTGTCTTCATTTTGTTTCACTGAGAATTCATTTGATTGATCTAATCATGTGTTACATTGCAGTAACGAATTTCTCATTGAAATGACTCTCGAATTCTTTAACTTGGCAGTTTTTCAACAAATTCTCTGTTGATTGTTGCTGTTCATCTTCTATTTTTATTTTGCTTAATCAACAGAACTCATAAATCAAACTTGTTTCTAGCTTATTAATTTTAATTTATTTTATTTATTATTAATAAATTACATCAGTTTTGCTGTACTTCGTATATATGCTTTAATCATTTTTTTCCCTACTGGTCTTAACACACATTTTTTTCTTCAGTATTATATTTTAAAAACAAACTCTTACACAGGAGACATGTAAAAACAAATAAATGTGTGCAGGTTTGATTGAGTTAAAGAACTTACGTTCTACAGGGGTACCAAGATCTGTAATTAACACAAACAACATGGCGTATACAGGCAAATCACTCACCGTGGTACTGCACGCTTACTAAATCACAATGGAGGCAAATTATACAAAGCTCAAATAGGTCTAAAAGCTTGGGATATCTCATTTTTATTCTTTAACATTTCAGTTTTTGATCTAGGCCAATTTGTTCGAAATAAGTGATGATATGGCATTTTTGATGCCATGTGTACACCGCTGTCTTATTGCCAAGGATTGTTGAAATTATATGTAGTGATCTTTTCTAAATCGCGAAATAAACAATATCACCATTCAACTCTGCGTTGTTGACAAAATAAATTTGCTGTACAAAATAGCGTTAAGGCTGAAATTGGAAATTTTGAGGCTTTTCATGCACTGTCTATTAGGCTGTAACATTGGAGTCATCATTGACTGGTTAGGAAGGATCATTTAACATCTTTTGAGATTAAACAGTGAAAATTTTCTATGCTGTTTTCACAATATCAACATTCAGCTGATTTTACATGAATTAATAGTTCAACAATATCTTGGCGTTTGTTTTGTTAGAACAATGTAAGAGCAGAACCAGATTCGCACTTTATCTTTAAATCACAATTAATTCCAAACAAATTAACGAAATCCTAGTAAATTATTATAAGTGAGCATTCCTACGGATGATTTAATAAGTAATGTGTGTTAATTTGAACATACAGATGTAATAAATAGATAATCTATTATTTGGAGCATTTTCTATCCAGTGTCTACAAAGTAGTAATGAACGGCAAAAAGCTAAGACTGTATTGACCAATGATAAATACATGTATACTATAATAATGATGTCCTTTCTGGCAGATTTTATGTTTTGTTTTCTTTGTTTGTGTGTTGTTTAGCGTCCATCTTGAGTATTTTTCACTCATATGGAGACGTC